TGTGGTGAGACTGGACACGCTGCTTCCGCCAAGAAACTGACACGTACTCATGAACTACCTCAACAGTTAAACATCCGTTTGACGAATGGCCATAAATGACTAGGTACTGAAAGATGTGGAATGTGTCATATACGTCGATGACTAGAAACATGTTGCTTTCGACAACAAAATGATGTATAATCGACTGAAACACTGTAACTGTGTACTGCACTGTTGTAAGCAATGTACGGTAGCAAGTAACTGACTTGCGAACAACACAACAGCATAGCATCTTAAAATGATCATACCGGAATGGGTGAAATTTACGACTCCCCTCCACCAATCATAGATGGTAGGTGCAGCTTGCGGCTGTAATTCGTCTAGACAAACTTGATAACTGATTATCCACTAGTATAATCGGTAGACGATGTAAACCCAAAAATTGGAAATACAGAAATACCCCTATTCAGCGATGCAATACTACAAGTATCGTCAAAACGATTTTTGCTTTTTCCGCATGACCTGAAAGAACTTTAACTCAAGAAAGTGTATCATTCCATATTTAACATTTTGTCATAATTTTGATTTAATAACTTCAAGCGCAGAGTAATATTAGTGCTCAACAATGCCATTTTGCTTGTGCATGTTGATATCATCATTGTAAGTGCCTTGCATAGGCAGACCGTCTCCGTTCTGCAATTTTGCGGCACATTTGCTATAAGGTACTGGCTTCGTAGAAATAATAATTTCTCACCAAAAGCAACTCAGCCTCTATTTTTTCCTTGATGCTGCCTGTTAGCCTCCGGGTTGATTTCGACACTCATACGAGAAGCCTAGGATCTGGAAGAAATGGTTTACGATTAACCAATTTGTCTAAACTTGTCATTCTCCGTTTCTTTACTGTCCGCGTCTGTTGAGGTCACTTGTGCTTGGCAGAGAACAGTCACGCCTTGTGTGATTCTCCCATTTAACTCTTATTACGTGTCGAAGACAGCGCTGCTGTACACATTTGTGTACAGTTATCAAGCAATGCCAATGGTCGCCAAACGAACTTGAATACCTTCCTAAGTATACTACTTGCCGAAGTGATGCTCTCTTTGCCAAACACTATTTTAGAGAAATTTAAATGATGAACCAACACGTTTCAGTGAATTTCGAGCCCTGCTACTCGCAACGTACGTCTAAGGAACTGATGAGTCAGTTGTGGGTCAGTTAAAAATTTTCAGGCAATCTTTAAACAGTAGAAACGCCACCGGGGGAAGATGAAATCTGTTGCAAGTGCAATGAAAGTGTGTGGATAAAGATACAACCAAAGACCTGTCATAATTCCAATAAATGTTAAGAAAATGGAATTGCGACTGCCAGTGACAGCGCCCATCTTGCCAATTAATTAAGGATGGTCAAAACTGTCATTCATAACGTGCAGAATTTACAACAATTTTGGAGACAGTACCTGAGAGAAGAGCAGCCACAGTAACGTTCTGAAAATAGCTACTAAATTACGACGTCAGGAATCATACAGTGAGAATATTTTCACTAACAGAACATTAAATAAAACATTGTTTAACACAATGAACACTGAAATTCGGTCAATCGAAATACCGTCCCTGTATAATTCAGTCAGGCAGTCTCGATAGCCGCTTCTCCTTTCGGGTCGAGAAGGCAGACGCGTCAAACTGTGTCTTCACGTTCCTGATCCTGTGCCAACCTCTGAGCTTCAGCAACAAAAAGTCTGGATCTAGAGCAGAATCCGTCGAGAGATTTGTGACAGGCGTTCGGCTGCCTGGGTTGGACCAGTAGCAGTAATTATTTAATCTTCTTTTCTAGAAGCATATGCGGCAGGCACCAAAACCATCGCAGCTGTGTTCGAAGAAACAGAGGGTGTACGCAAAGGATTTTTTTCAGATATTCGTCTCAGAAGACGTTTTTCATTCGCCTATGCCTGGGATGATGATCATAAAAGTGTGATAAGTCGAATAAGGCCTTAAAGGAACAACACCGACAGCGGGAGCTCACAGTCGGAAACCGGAACATCTCGTCAATGTGCATAATTACAGTATGTAATTTACGTACTGAACAGCAACGGAAAGCTACGATTTGCAATGTCATACACATTACTGTAACCGAACGTAGTTCAAAACCTCACAGCATTAGTTTCGTGCCAACAAATCGTTCGGAAATCGGCAAACAGAAATGGGCACATCGGTGCACAAGTAACATACTTATCTATCAACTGAGTTAACCGGATGTAGGCGACACACGCCGCGTCTTCTCCCATCAGGTACACCACGGGATTGATCAGTATAGTCCTCGATGGTCGCGATTCCAGTCGTAACTGAGCAGCCACTTAAACAACAAAGTACCACATGGTCAACTTCAACATCGGCGTCTATTCGAAAGGCGGTAACAAACTTTGATTGAAATAGAACTTGTGGTAGTCCATGCCCTCAACCAGGTGGCCCATGGACGCCGGCTCGAAACACGTCATGTTCATGTCGCATAGCTTCCTAGAAAGCGGATAAACACGACGTTACAAACTCGACTATGGACTGCGAGTCAAACAAGCGCTGCTTACGAATATGTGTTATAGTCAAGGTTGCTGATGGCCTCGATGATTTGTTCGGTCAGTTTGAGGATTTCTTTCTTCCGCACTAAAAACAGATGGAAACGTGAGCCAAGTGAACGAACACAGAAAACCAACGAAACGGAACATGCAGACGTGCTTTGGGGCACCTGACCGACCACCTCCACCACCGGTTTACCAATAAGCAGGATACATGCAAACGAGTAAATAAAAATTGTAAGCAAAAATCATAAACAACAAAAGTAAAAAGCAAGATAAATGTTACCGATGAAATGGCAAAGATTTATTACGTGTCTGGTAAAAAGGAAGTAGAACAAAACACACAGGCTACCACAAGAAATTCAAAACGCTACGACGACGATGTCCACAGGCCATTAACACATGCAGGCCATATGCAGAACTGCAGAAATGAAACAGATTCGTAAGACAGCTACTACAACAGCCTATTTGTTCATGATCCGCCGGGAAAAGAAAATCAATCGATTATGACACTGGACCGGTTATCGGGCGTTTAAAACACCCTTAAATTTAGAACACGTCAGAGTTAAAAGGATGAAAATTTTTGACCATCTGCAATATATGCATATCGGATAACATTAAATCTAATGTCATTTTCACTAACGCAGGATCAACCGAATCGACTTGGAAGATCAAGCAGTCATCACACCAGAAGTGCTCAGTCCGGTAACGCGTCGGACTCAGAACCGAGAGGTCCGGAATTCGATTTCTGGTCAAGTCACTCGCCTTTCATCCCTGTGAGGGAGATAAATGATAACGAAAGAAACAAGAGATTACACAGCGGCTGTCGATTCTGCCTTAAAAACAAGGCATTCTTGGCTGCTAGCACGGAAATAGAGTTTAACGCCCCAACATCTAGCTTTATGATAAGAACAGCGCAGAGATGACCGGATAACGAATGCATCAAACAGAGTTCAAACGGTTATAGTTTTCCAATTTCCTTCTTTTTCAAGGCCACATTCAACATACGCTTTAATCGAATTTAACTATCTCATCAACGTGTATTTCGGTATCTTTCTATCCCCCTTTACGTCTATTAACTAAGCATTCTACCAGTCCATCGATCTCCCCATCTACATATATGGCGATACATCTGTCTGTTTAACTACATTTCTGTCCATCCATTCATTTGTAAACATACAGAAAAGGCAGACAGGACATTTACATGATCTTCCTAGACCTGGAGAAAGCCTTTCATCGAGTCCCGAACTAAGCAATCGGTTGGAGTATGAAAAAGATGCTAGTGCCAGAAAACTGTAAGGCTTGCCAAAGACATGTACGACAGTGTGATCAAGTGGGCTCAAAGTACATGCAGCGAAACAGAAGATTTATCTGTGCGGGCAGGAGCTCACCAAGGATCCGCACTGAGCCCATTTCTGTTCTCATCGGCGACAGAAGTGATAACTAATGATCTGCAGGAAGCAGTCCCAAGCTGCATGCTCTATGCAGATGACACTGTGCTATGCAGCGAAAGCACGGATGCAGTAGAGGCGAACCTGAGATATGGAGAACAGCCCTTGAGAAGAAGACCTTCTACTCGGCAAAGTCAAGTTAGAATATATGGCGGGCTATTTCAGTGGGGAAAACAGACTGAAAGCCGTCAAACCAGTGAAAGTATCGGGGAACTTCCTACCTCAAACCCAAGAATTCAAAACAATGCAGAACTCGACAGCGTGGTGAGAAATTGATCGAAGGTTTGGCTCAAATGTAGAGAAGTGATCGGAGTACTGTGCAGCAAAAAGATGCCAACGGAACTGAAAGGGAAAGTTTACAGAACGATAGTAAGACCAGTGCTTCTGTACGGCTATTCAGAAGAGACATGAACAACAGCTGAACTCGGCAGAAACGCGGAAGCTCAGATGGGTGTGTGGGGTCGGCTGAAAGGACCACATCCGAAACAACTCCATAAGAGACACTCTATGGGTAGCACCAAGTTCATAAATGCTTATCAAAAGCAGGCTCGGCTGGTTCGGTCACGTGAAAAGAAGACCCGTCGCGTTCGTTGGAAATGTTGCCTAAGTACTGATACTGCCTGGGAAGAAAAGAAGAGAAAGAACGAAGAAAAGATGGCGTGATGCAGTCAAAGACGATATCAAACTGCGAGGAGTCTCTGAATATTTAACAAACGAAAAATGTGGAGAAGTTGATTCGATTAGCAGGCCCCTGTTAAAGAGAATAAGCTAGGAAAAAGAAAAACGAAAAGCAGTCATAAGATTTATTCTCTGCTTCTCCAATAATATTCCAGGCATCGACAAATCAGTTTCCTCGACGGTTGTAGCAAAAGCAACTGAACAATGGGGCGAATATTTAAAAACACTTTTATTCACAGCCTCTGCCTGAAGAAACTGAAAGTGGCAGGGTTTCAAACTTCGTTACCACTCTAAATGGAAACGATCATACTCAACCAGAGATAACGGATCTCACAAACACTTTCCATACTAAGATCAAAACCACACCATATCATCACTGGCATATTCACATTGCGTATGCCAGCGGAAATCACGAATTCAACAGAACGCCGACGGTACGATTTAAATACTAGATAGGTTCTAACCATCAGAATTATAGCGGAAGTGCCAACCTCTAACAGTTTACTCAAGCTGAACGAAGGTGAACCTTAATGACAGTTACGAAAATCTGATCGGCGGTTGTCCACTGTGTTGTGAGTCACAAAAGTTCGCTGCTGCGCACTAACGCTGACACCACCAAACTTCGCTGTTATTTTCAGATTGTCAGTGACATGGGAATTTTCCCATCTGGATGCCTCCATGTGTACACTGGCTAGGAAAAGAACCGATATCGTAAACCATATTCGAAACAGAACAGGAAAATACAACCGGGATCAAGCTGGTGTTTGTTTCCTCTGACAGTCAGACTTCAATTTTCCCTCAACGTCGCAACTACTTTGAATCATAAAAAATAAAAAACAGTAGCAATGCCACACTGACAACAAAAGTTTCGAATTCTTAAGCAAATTCGATGTCAAATTAAACTGAGGATCATCACCATCTCTAATAGCAAACAATCAACATAGAACATAGACATTATTTTCCAAGTATATTCGACCTGAAGCAAGGCAGAATGTTTGCTTGCGTGAATGGCGGTGGTGAATGAAACGGTCACTGATGATGAACGGACTAGACGCGTTCATTCGAGTACCAGAATTCGGAGGTGATGGGGACAAGGGTAGCAGCATTAGTTGCTTCTTAAGCTTCTGGTGGTGCCAAACAGGCATAGACCAAATACATGCAGAAAACGACTACGATATTATGATATTCCTACTGTCGAAAGCCGACAACATTTTTCCAGTCTTAGACATGAGGCTTGCCGTCTGTTGGCTTTGACATTATATATACCGCAATAACTGGCGCTGGATTCATTATGTCGTTCAAGAGCCATGCAAAAATTTCACCGCTACCTCAAACTACATTTGCCAACGTGGTCTACAGCGATGTCACCAGATGCACAATATAATTGTCGTTGTCAAACGTGCAACGGTGGCAGCATGAATTATCATACCTTGACTTTTGAGCAAAAAAATACCCATAATGAAATTTATACAAAGGGCAGACCAGGAAGCCTTTAATATCGAACTGAATTCTGGAGGGTTTGGTTTTCTTTCTAACGCCAGAGAATATTGGTATTTCAGCACATACCACCATTTCAGGTTCACGGATGAAATCCTGACTGCCCTGAACATCAAGGAACTGCAATCAATGCTGCAAAGGTAAATGAAGTCGGCGGCAACGTCGACCTGGGCACAAACTATCTGAAATCAATTTTATGTTGCTGCAATTTTATGCTACGCCAAAAACCTAAGCAGTCGCAGACGTAAGAGACAGAAAATCAATCGAAGCCACTTCGCTAAACGATGACGGGAAAAAATTCAAGACAAAGGAGAGCTGGATGGTGCAGCTACAACTCAATTAAAGAAGTTCTGAAATGAAGCACATATCCAGTGCTAAACTCATACAAAAAATATACAAAATGAAATGCATGATCAGCTGGGAACGTTAATTGACTTGATTAATGACTACCGTACGGTAGCACAGCGAGGTCACAAAAATCATTTACTCGTCCTCGAAAAACATCAACGATTTAATATCTGGCCTAGAAGCACCAATAACGAATGCAAAAAGGAAAAAAACAAGTTCACAATGCTTGAATTCCGTCGCGTCTCACACAACGTCATCGTCTACCTTGTCATTATACCAAAATCATTCAACGACGACCACGGAACGAAAACAATACTGATCATCCAAAAATGGGGGAGCAACTACTTCAGGTTTTACTCTACTCAAGGCGGCTTGCCACGTAAGACGTCAGATCATTGTGGAGCTTGCTCCAGATTTAACAGTAGCTGCGCACTACCTAAGTCTTAACTAAAGCACTTAAATTATAGGACCAAGGATATATTCAAATCAACTAATATTTGTAAACTCTAATCCAAAAAACCGTGTCTAGGTCTCCCTGAAACTTCTTTTGAAAAACATCTACTATTTTAGAAAGTATAACCTTCACGTTAGAAAATTGCTTTATCAGAAATAAGCAGTAATATGGGTCAAATGACTAGAACACCCATCGCGAAAAAATTTATGATGGAAGAGAAAGGAAACTGCAGAATGCATTCAGTATCATAAGTAAGGAAGTTGGCGTGAAACCTTGTTTATATAGGAAGCTAATTGAAATATCTTTTACCACTGCCGTTTAAAACTCTGTGGCACCCTACCATCTGAGTGAACCGCAGATTTAATTGGCAATGCCCGGTCGAGTAATACCCGAAACGTCAGGAACTCTGCATATTGCAAACTTGCAACGTCATCCCAAAACGATTTCTTCCATTTAGAATAATATTACGCATTACACATTCTACTATTTTTAGAATAAATATATGCAATTATGTATATGGCCCTTCATCCAACGTTCCCTCGTTTGTAAGAACGTCAAAAACGCAAAATGAGGCTCCTACATTCTTCTGTTCTGTGCATGACATACAGTCTTTATCGCTGATCTTGATCATCGGGTCGTCGCAGTGTTTTGGCATGACGAGGAAGACGTTTGTGTACAGAGAGGTTCGATTAAGGATTTGATGTCCACCGGTTAGCCCTACGCGAATCACCTTCACGGTCCACATCTTCGGTGGCAGAAAACAAACCTTATAATGCAGTTCGTTATCGAATTTGTGCACTCGGAAAATGATTTCAAAGCAAAGTCTTGAACATTTATTACTCCATCTCTCATTGCCTGATCAGTCATCAGCTTGTCTTTGGTTTAATAACAGACCAATATTCATCGCCCACACAGTAGTTCACAGTCTAATAGTCTAATAATGATTTTACGATTTTAATACAATAATATAATTAAGATGTTAATTTTCCCATCCATCGATTTCTTGCGTCCATCTGACGGCTGAGGTATAAACAGCTGGTGATTTCTTTGCCACTGGCGTAGACTCGGCCCTTGGGGCAATGCCAGATTAGCGTTCATTTCGTCTGTGAAAAATTACTAGTAAATCTCATGGTACCAGATTCTCCTCGTAACCGGAGAATTTCTTTGTTGGACCTGCTTCTTGTCGTGTGCGAAGGCGATGCAGCATCCGCCATCAACAAGTACGTTCGTCGCTCTTCATCAATATTGATGCCGCTGTGTCAGTTGAAGAATGACTCTAGAGCCTCGGCCAACAGCGATGCTGAGATCGTATCTCATGACGCACTTCTCAATGGAAGCTCATACATGATTCGCTGAGCAGCCTGAGCAGCCAGTGCTCAATTCCTCGATGAGGATGACGCGAACAGGGTTTACGCCATGTTCAGACAAAGAGTTTAGCACAACCATTAATTATATCGACTGCTTGCGGTCTACAGAAGCGAAACAGGGTGGTACTTAATACTCGCTGAACTTCTCCGTTAGTTGATGGACAGCATGTATACGGTCAACGGCAAAGAACCCTTAAGTAAACCTCCCTGTTCTCCACCTGTGACTTGTTCGAGATCCTTCCACATACGAATGAGTATGCGAGTGAAGATTGTAGCCTTGTGACATCAGTGTAACTGATCGATAGTTCTTGAAGTCTACCACACTTTAAGCACCTTGTACTGTCTGATGCGTTCGATAAAATTCTTGGCAAACACTTAAAACAGAACGGTTCGTTCTGCTTTAAGGTGTTCTGATCTCATATCTCTTTCACCTGGCCATTTGTTTCTGACTGCACATCAGATGACTCTGGGGACGGCTTCTGGGGCCACTTTCCATTTGTCCATACTTCGAAAGAGAACAGGTTATTGCAGAACTTTGTGTAGATGGTATTCATTCGATTGCGAGCTGAAGTCCTCGGTTCCCCTTCGTCATTCAACGCAGCGGGTATCCGTTGTTTA